AGATTTTTAGTCTGCATGACATCCAACTATCTTTAAGGATAAGTTTCCTACGTAATTCTTTCCCACATACTTGCACCAGACACTGCACAGCATTACCAGTCGCATCATTCTTACGCAAATAAGCCTTTTCAGGTGGCTTTCCATTTCAGCGCTAGTCTTCACCTACTGCTGAAGATTTAGGGGTAAGCAGACCTCCGAGCTCTATAGCGACAGCTTAATCGTATAATCTCCCTGGAGTACTACTTCAAATTTTAAAAGTATAGTAGTGTCAAATTATGATTTCCAGCATCAGTCCTTTTCATAGCAATCCCCTCTAAAGGAATAAGCTCTTTCTCCTCTGTCCAAGGGCAAAATCATATCTACCAATGCTTTGGGTAAATTTCTCCGAAGTGAATTAGCCAACATGGAGTTTGCAAGAGTACAAAGAATACTATTTTATTGATCATGCTTTGTTAAAGTTCACCAACCCGTTCCACTTCCGTGAACGGAAACTATAGGTTAATTCATTTGGAACCAAAAGGCTTGAAAGTCCAGTTCCGGAAATTTTACTTGCACAGAAGTAAACAGAACCACACATGCACAACATTACGTGTAGAACCGCATCCGAATACTGATGACTTGTTAACAATTCAGAACAAACCCAAAGTTCACATGTGAAGTTTATTCAGGAAACTACCAACACAACTGCTCCAAAACATAGAAATTTAATATATGCAGTTTCTTATGCACAGAGGAAGGGGGTACATACAAGTAACAATATAAGCTACTAAGGAACTGGAAGATAATAAATCAGAAAAAGCTCCAAATTCTTAAGGGACCCCTCTACTTGATCAGAAAGCAGTCTGAATTGGCAAAGGTAAGGTGCTACAAAGCCATGAAATGCTGCAAGGGAGCTGAAACTCTTAACATGTCTGTTTGTTATGCTGGAACACAGCAATCCTAAAGACCAATTGTGGCACTGGTACTTGCCAGGATTAAGTCTCTTTAAGAACTGTTTATAATATTTGCAATATAATATGTGGCTTACATGCTAGAAACAAATGCAGCATTTGTCAGATCACTCTAGAAATTAACATTCTTTTAAAAAAAAATTATCTCTTTTCCCACCCAGAAGTGTATAAAAAGCAGTGAAATTTTGCTTAACCAGTTTACAACACATGGCAAGCAATAAGGGTTACCAAATAAGACCAGAAGCCAATACAACTGGAATTTCAAGGCAGAAACAAAATAGTGAGCACTGACAACTTTGCAGAAGTATGAAGAACAGAAAGAATTAACAGCAGCAGCCTTCTTTGCTAGACGAGCTGAAACTGCTGCTCTGACATAGTTTTGTCATTTCTGTGAGAACTTTATTTTCTTCTGAACCCAGACTATAACCAGGTTGCCACACAGTTTAGTGCCATAATGTTACTTTAAGATACACACACAAACAGAATCACCTTTCACAGACGAGGCTAAAAAAAATACTAAATTTCTAATTCAGAGCTTTTAGGCTCAGTAATTCCACTATCAATGACAATTACTTGATTTGTAAACTTTTAACCAATTGCATTAGAAAGGACAAGCGTTCATTTAACTTTTAATTATTTTTCTCTTCAGCTTTTTCTTGTGGAGATCCTAGCATGCATATGACATGTTTTTACTAGGCTAGTAGCATAACTGAATTAAGTGTAAGGGATACACATGCCCTCATGCTTAAAAAGCATTCAAGTTCAAAGAATATAAAATAATTGGGCTGAACGGCAGAATGAATCTCGGACATACAGGTTTAAGCAGTCTCAGACACACCAGCTTTCAGAACTGTCACAGAAACTAAAAAAAGAAAAAAGTAACTTTATTGTTAAATATTTCTCAACATTACCCTAATTTGTTCACTGCCTGGGAATTGCCACATTAGCCTTCACTTTCCATTATCCTAAACAGAGCAACCAGGAAAACTATTTACCCTCTACAGAGCATCTATTAGTTCAGATTAGTGGGAGAAAAGGTTAAGAAAGAAATATTCTCTGTATAGGTTATTATTGAAGAGAGAAAAATTTCCTCTAAAAAAAAAATAGCACCACCATAGGGGAAAAAAATGGATGACAAAAAAAAAAGCCAGTAACCTAAAAAAATCGTTTTAGTTCTTCTTTTTGCTTTGAACACACTTAGTAATCTTTGTGCAGAGAGTTTTAAAATTTCTCTCTCCATATGGCGTTTTTTTTTTATTATATGTTTTGAAGGCAGGCACCACGGCACGTTTCACTTTTCACCGTAAAAGCAGGTTCACCTCCCACCTGCCCCTCGGCGTTTTCTCCCACACTTCCTCGTGTGTAAGAGCCGTCAGACTTTTGCTCGGGAGCCAGCCGGGGAGGCGGCGGGGGGGACTCCGCGCAGGACAGGCCGCGGCCCGGCGGGACGCCTCCTCCTCCGGCGCGGTTACAGGCTCAGCGGCCCGCACGGCCCCCAGCTACGAGGCTCCGGGCAGGAAGCGACGGGGCCGGGCCGCGGAAGCACCGAG